TTGGTTAAGCGACTGCCTTCAGCTCAGGTCATGATCCTGGAGTCCCAGGATCGAGTCCCGCATCGGGCTCCCTGCTCAGCAGGGAGTCTGCCTCTCCCTGACCCTCTTCCCTCTCATGCTATCTCTCATTCTCTCTCTCTCAAATAAATAAATAAAATCTTTAAAAAAAAATAAAATCACTCCCTTAATTTGTTCAAGTATATAATAAAGTATTTGTTAATTATAATCACCATACTATATAATTAGATGCCCAACTTATTCATCACATAGTTAAAGTTTGTACCCTTCAACAAACATCTCCTGATTTCCCCCAACCACCAGCCCTGGGAAACCACCATTCATTCTACTATTTCTAGGAATCTGGCTTTTTTAGATTCTACCAGTAAGTGAGACCATATAGTATTTGTCTTTCTCTGTTTGACTTATTTCACTTAGCACAATGCCCTCAAGGTCCATCCATGATGTTGCAAAAGGGAGGATTTCCTTCTTTTTTTCATGACAATAATATTCTGTGTGTGTGTCCCATTTTCTTTATCCATTCATCCATCAACAACTGCTTAGGTTGTTTCATGTTTTGGATACTGTGAATAATGCTGCATTGAACATGTGGGTGCAAGTATCTCTTCAAGATAATGATTTCATTTCCTTCAAGACATATATCCAGAGAGGGACTGCTAGATCACTTGCTGGTTCTACTTTTAGTTTTTTGAGGAACACCATAATATATCCATAGTGGCTTGTACCAATTTACATTCCTGCCAACAATGCACAGGGTTGCCTTATCCCTACATCCTCACCAACACTTAATCTTTTGTCTTTTTGGTAACAGCCATTCTAGAAGGTGTGATGTAATCTCATTATATTTTTGATTTGCATCCCTGGTGATTAGTGATGTTGAGCATCTTTTCCTTTTGGCCATTTGTATATCTTTGGAAAAATATCTATTCAAGTCCTTTGCCCATTATAAAATAAATCTGTGGGGTTTTTTTGCTATGAAGCTGTATAAGCTCCCTATATATTTTGGATACTAAGCCATTATTATATAGATGGTTTACAAATATTTTCTCCCAGGGGCACCTGGGTTGCTCAGTCGGTTCAGGTCATGATCTCAGGGTCCTGGGGTTGAGCCCTGTGTCGGGCTCCCTGCTCAGTCAGTGGGGAGTCTGCTTCTCCCACTCCCTCTGCTCCTCCCAACTCATGCTCTCTCTCTCAGATAAATAAAATCTTTTTTTTTTTTAAAGATTTTATTTATTTATTTGACAGAGAGAGAGAGATAGCTAGAGCAGGAGCACAAGCAGGGGGAGTGGGAGAGGGAGAAGCAGGCTTCCCGCGGAGCAGGGAGCCCAATGCGGGGCTCGATCCCAGGACCCTGGGATCATGACCTGAGCCAAAGGCAGACGCTTAACGACTAAGCCACCCAGGCGCCCCTCAGATAAATAAAATCTTAAAAATATTTTTTTTCTCCCATTCCATAGGATGGCTTTTCATTTTTCTGATTGTTTCTTTTGCTCTGCAGAAGTTTTACAATTTGATGTGGTGCCATGTGTTTACTTTTGCCTTTGCTGCCTATGCTTTTGGTGTTATATCCAAAAAAATCACTGCCAAGACCAATGTTAAAGAGCTTTTTCCCAAAACTACCATTTTCTTACACCATACACAAAAATAAACTCAAAAGGGATTAAGGACCTAAACCTGAGACCTAAAACCAAAAAATCCTAGAAGAGAGCACAGACAGTAATTTCTCTGACATAAGCCATAGCAACTTCTTTCTTGATATCTCCTGAGACAAGGGAAACAAAAGTAAATATAAACTACTGGGACTACATCAAAGTAAAAAGCTTCCCCGCAACAAAGGAAACAACCAACAAAACTAAAAGACAACCTACAGAATGGGAGAAGGTATTTGCAAATGGCATATCTGATAAAGGTTAGTGTCCACCGAAGGGGTACGAGCACCCCGATGTTTATAGCAGCAATGTCCACAATAGCCAAACTGTGGAAAGAGCCAAGATGTCCATCGACAGATGAATGGATAAAGAAGATATATATATATACAATGGAATATTATGCAGCCATCAAAAGGAATGAGAGCTTGCCATTTGCGACGATGTGGATGGAACTGGAGGGTGTTAAGCTGAACGAAATAAGTAAATCAGAGAAAGACATGTATCATATGACCTCACTGATATGAGGAGTTCTTAATCTCAGGAAACAAACTGAGGGTTGCTGGAGTGGGGGCGGTGGGAGGGATGGGGTGGCTGGGTGATAGACATTGGGGAGGGTATGTGCTATGGTGAGCGCCGTGAATTGTGCAAGACTGCTGAATCACAGATCTGTACCTCTGAAACAAATAATGGAATATATGTTAAGAAAAAAAAAAAAGAAGAAGATAGCAGGAGGGGAAGAATAAACAGGGGAAATCAGAGGGGGAGATGAACCATGAGAGACGATGGACTCTGAAGAACAAACTGAGGGTTCTAGAGGGGAGGGGGGTGGGGGGATGGGTTAGCCTGGTGATGGGTATTAAAGAGGGCACATTCTGCGTGGAGCACTGGGTGTTATGCACAAACAATGAATCATGGAACACTACATCAAAAACTAATGATGTAATGTATGGTGATTAACATAACAATAAAATTTAAAGAAAAAATAAATAAAAAATTAAAAATGAAGTGCAAAAAAAAAAAAAATGGTTAGTATCCAAAATATATAAAGAACTTCTAAAACTCAACACCCAAAACCCAAATCCAATTAAAATAGGGCAGAAGACACGAAGAGACATTTCTCCAAGGAGACAGCCAGATGGCCAACAGACACATGAACTCAACATCACTCATCATCAAGGAAATGCAAATCAAAACCACAGTGAGATATCACCTCACACCTGTCAGAATGGCTAAAATCAACAACAAAAGAAACAAGTGTTAGCGAAGATGTGGAGAAAAAGGAACCCTCTTGCACTTGTAGGTGGGAATGTGAACTGGTGCAGCCACTATGGAAAACAGTATGGAGGCTCCTCAAAAAATTAAAAATGGAATTACCCTATGACCCAGCAATCGCACTCCTGAATACTTACCCAAAGAATATGAAAACACTAATTTGGAGAGCTATACACATCCCTATGTTTACTGCAGCATTATTCACAGTGGCCACACAGCAGCCCAAGAGTCCATCAATAGATGAATGGATAAAGAAGTGGTGTGTGTGTGTGTACATATGTGTATATGTATACATATGTATGTATATGCATATATACAAGTATGTATATGTATACAGACATATATATGTGTACACACACACACACATATATATATACACACATGTACTATCAGCCATAAAGAAGAACAGAATCTTTCCATTTACAACAACATGAATGGAGCTAGAGAGTATTATGCTAAGCAAAATAAGCCAGAGAAAGACAAATAACCCTATGATTTCACTCATTTGTGGAATCTGAGAAACAAAAGAAATGAACAAAGGAAAAAAGAGAGACAGACAGACAAACACAAACCAAATAGGAGAGTCTCAACTATGGAGAACAAATGGATGGTTGCTAGAGGGGAGGTGAGTGGGAGGGATAGGTGACATTGGTGAAGAGGATTAACAGTACAACTTGTCACAATACACACTGTATAATGGACAGAATTGTTGGATCACTGTATTGTACACCTGAAATTGATGTAGCATTGTATGTTAACGTACAAGAATTAAAAAAAAAAAAAAGACAAAGACCTTTATCCCTATGTCTTCTAGTAGTTTAACAGTTTAAGGTCTTACATTTAAGTTTTTAATCCACTTTGAATTAACCTGTGTGAGTAGTCTAAGATAGCATTCTCATTTCATTCTTTTGCATATCATCCAGTTTTCCCAGCACCATTTATTGAAGAGACTATCCTTTCCCATTCATTGAGTATCCTTTGCTCCCTCATCAAATATTATTAATCTGACTGGCTCAGTCAGAAGAGCACATGACTCTTGATCTCAGGGTCATGAGTTTGAGCCACAAAGAGATTACTTAAATAAATAAAAAATAAACTTTATGGGGCACCTGGGTGGCTCAGTCAGTTAAGTGTCTGCCTTCAGCTCAGGTCATGATCCTGGGGTCCTGGGATTGAGCTGCTCAGTGCTCATCCGGCTCCCTGCTCAGTGGAGAGCCTGCTTCTCCCTCTCCCTCTGCCTGCCACTCTGCCTACTTGTGCTCTCTCTCTCTCTGTCAAATAAATAAAATCTTTAAAAAATAAATAAATAAATAAAAAATAAACTTTAAAAATATGTATT